GTCCTGGGTTCGATACCCCCCGTGGCTGGGAAATTTCGGTGGAGGGTAAATGCTATAGGCCATGTACTGTGTGATGTCGGTGCATGTCAACACCAGATACCCGAAATTTCTAGAGCCCTCTGCTACGGAACCCCTCATAATCATATTGTGGTTTCGGGGCATTGTACCCAAAGCATTCTCAATAACGACCCAGATTATTTACAGCACTTTGCGAGCTTGTATATAATTAACGCTTTTTTATGGCTTCAAGCGTTCCTGCTCAAAATAAAAAGCGCCTCAAATAAATTGCTCGTTCAAGAGCTTCGGTGTTTTTTCCGCAGCGACCATCGTTACAGAACGTGTCCGTTCAAGGATGTGCCCCTGCCTTATCTTACTTACCTCACGGAATGTGTCCCTGTCTTATCTCACTCCTAGTCCAAGACCTATTGTTCCAGAATGTGAGATATTAACACCAAAACAGCGTTGTTACCAGATCAAAAAATACCAAGCTCCTCTTGTCCTCATTTCAAAGACACAATAGTGAGGATGCTGCACTAATCTACCAGGAACAATCGCTCATGAATAAAATGCTGTGAAAACATGAATCTATTACACTCATTGTATGAAAATGTAGTATAATAACTGTCCCGTTATAACGTCCGAAAGCCATATTTTATGCAAGTATGTTTGTGCGTGCGTCAGTATATGTGCATGTATATATACGCGTGGGGGTCGCAAAAAAAATGGCGGGGGGGGGTTGCACCTTCCCCTCCACCTTGGCTACGCCCGTAGGAACGTGCACCTAAATATAAGCACTTGATCCTCAAGCATTTCCGCCTTCATCGAAAATGTGGCCGTCGTGGCAGGGATTCGATCCCGTTATCTGCGGGTCAGTGCACTCGGACACTACAACCACTAGGCCATCGTGGCGGGCATCCATGAAAACATGCATCAAAGAAAGACGTGGTTCGCCGACGTGTCAAGTGCGTGGCATACAACGCAACGCATCTTCATAATTACTGCAAGTTCTTCAGAGCGTCTGCGAACACACTTATTCCAGGATGAGGTTCATCAAATGGAACTTCAGTTCCCTCGCCACTAACCGACGAACTCTTCCACGACTTCCTGCATCGGCCAGTGAGCAATCATGTCGTAGATATTTGCATGCTGGTTAAGAATGTTCACCAACAAAAGTTGCATTTAAACAGAAGGAGAGAAAGATTAGCTTTATTTCGGTACGCGGCAGATGGATGGGGCAACCATGCCCCGATGGCGGCTATGAGCTCTTACTTGCTAAAAAAAACTTATTTGTTGTTAAATCCTTTCTTTTTGAATTGCGACCTTATCACACTTGCGCAGAAAACAAATGTGATTTGTGTTAAAGTTTTTATCATGGTTCTTGATTCACCGAATTGAATTGAATCGAGAACGGGGGTGGGGGCGTTGACAGGGTGTGGGGGTGGCGATCGCCTCTAGCGCCCCCCCCCCTCAGGATCCACCACTGGGTGTTGTTAATTAATATCCATGTTGCTGTTGACATCGTTACTCAACTGGAAACTGCGCATATAAAACATATGGGAGTGTTCAACGTATTTTGTGCGTGCAGCATTTGTACATATCTTGAACGTCACTTCGTAACTATTCGCTACATAAAACATTACCATGCAGTCAACTTACATCCGCATGTTTCATTCACACAACATCGGTTCATAAGGTACTTAAGATCTGCCGAATTTTTTTCACATACTCTGCTGTTCCTGTTCCTGTGCTGTTCCATCACGCCCTCTCAGGAATTACGAGAGAGGGGGCTCCCTCACCCACTTTGTGCGATATTTATGTGCATTTAGTTTCTGAGAGTTCTTGCCAACGCCACTGATAGCCAAGGAGGCGAGTGTTGAACTTTTTTTTTTTTTGCCAGAAAGCACCACGAGGCACATTATTTTCACACGAGGTGGCAGCTGACCAACCCTTCCATGCTACCTAAAGTATCATGTCTGCCGGGTGGAAGCCCTTACCTATGAAGGTTGAGCCAAATCAATCACTGCGAGCTTTATTTGTTGCTTTTTACAGGGTAGCTGTCAGGCGCCCGTTCCTGCGTTTAGCGGCATCGCCATCGCCGTTGGTGGCGTACCCAGGAACGGATCCCGCCACTCATATTAAGGGGGGGGGGGGGGGTCACTTAAAGTAACACCAAAGAACGAGGCGTGGTCATTACTTTCTTTCGTTTTTACTAGCTCAAGAACTCTATCAAAGCATAAATACTATTAATGTGTGCTCAAAGGGATCCCACTAAGTTGTTCTAATTAGTGATAGCAGGTAGATGGCAAGCGCTGAAAAGAGGGGGAAGGGGTACTGCCAGGCTTTGGGGGAGAGGGGCGATCGCCCCTACCGCCCTTCCCCCTCTGTATATCCGCCACTGGGTGTATCCGATAGACTTAAAAAAATCACGGCATATCCACAGATTGAATGATGATGAGTGGGACGAAGCGTCTGTCTGCCTGTCTGTCCGTCCGTCTGTACGTCCGTTCGTCTGTCAGTTTGTCTGTGCGTCTGTCTGTCCGTCTGTACGTCTGTCTGTACGTCTGTCTATCCGTCAGTCTGTCTGTCTGTCTGTCTGTCTGTCTGTCTGTCTGTCTGTCTGTCTGTCTGTCTGTCTGTCTGTCCGTGCGTTCATGCGTGCATCAGTCCGTCCATCCGTCCGTCCGTGCTTCGGCCCATGCTTCGTTCCGTCCGTCTATCCGTGCGTCCATCCGTTCATCTGTCTGTCTGTGCGTCTGCCCGTCTGTCTGTCTGTCTGTCTGTCTGTCTGTCTGTCTGTCTGTCTGTCTGTCCGTCCGTCCGTCCAGTTACGCATGATGCAGGACACGGTTAGACTAAGAGGAGCTTCGCCCCTAAACGTAACTGATAGGCATGACAACATGAGAAGGAAAAAAAAACAGTACAGCATAGGAAATGAACCCGCGTTTACGCCATCACAGTCGAGTATTCTACCGCAGAGCCAAGATGGTCTTTCAAACGTATTTGCAAAAATATCCTATACAGTCGTCATGTCGGGCAAAGAATCGCATTAACCTAGGTGACTTATCGCGTCATAAAATACCAACCAGCCGCAATACTAACTGCGTAATTAGTGTGTGATTTACACTTAGTGCAAAGTGTTCAGCCATCATTCTCATTGTAATTACCTAAACGCAGCGTTAACAAAGTTCACATAATATACCTTAAATACACGTGTCTATAGAGTGCCTCGCTTATCTGCATAAAGACGAACAATGGCGTGGTGATTGCTGTCCTACTTCACAAAAACAATAAGTCATGGCATAGAGGGTATCTTACACGAAGCAAAAACATCAAACGCAGTTGGCCTTGTCACCACATTGTGGTGTATAGTACTTGTTAACTATGTAAGAATAGCAAACTGGGCTTGTTGGTTTAACATACTTGAAGTTTTTTGCACTAATGCAACACGGGCGAAGACAGACGTGTATGTGTACTGTTACTTCAAGAATTGCAATCTATATATGAAGAAATCGAAGTGCACGATAAACCACCCATTCTCTCGGTAGGATCCTAAACCCACAAGGAGGAAGGAAGGAGAGGGAAGTTCCTAAACCACAGCCTTATAGTTACACATAGCAGTTCGCCTAGCTAACACTCCGAGAGATCCTAGTCGCATAAATATCCAACAGAGTAAACACGGGAGCGCCCTCCGTCGCTACTTCGTGAAAGCATCAGAGGCGTAATTGGAAAACTGGGGGTTCAAATCCCAGCGACAGGAAGGACACTTTTTTTTTGCTTTCTTTGTCCTTTCAAATTTAGATTACATTCATTAACTGCGGTTAAAACAACAATAAAGTAAATATGCTTTCTTTGGCTTGATTGTTTTTTTTTTCGTTTTTTTTCGACAAAGAAATAAGCCTCCCGAACTTTTTTTTTCCTTTTACGGAAAGTTGGTCGAAAAGACTAGGGAGGAAATTTTCTATTTAAAATGAATTGTCGGGTTTTACGTGTCAGAGTCTTACACACCAAAATAATCCAGAACGCGCCAGAACATTTTGGTTTCTGCAACTGGAGAAAATCGTTTTCCGACCGACATGGAATGCTTCATGGATCACGTGACCACGGCGTGACTGAATGTCTAACAAAACGGAATGTACATCAAGACGAAATGTCTAACCGAGACGAAATGTCCAACGAGACGGTACGTCGAATGAGACTGTCTGAGACGGAATGTCCAACGACACTCTATGTCCAACGAGCCTGAATGTCCACTATCAGACATTCCGTCTCGACGGACATTAAGACTTGTTGGACATTCAGGCTGCAAGCGGTGCGGAACCAGTCCCATACATTGACACTTTAATGAGGGGGCAAGAGGGGGGCGCTAAGTCAGTCTCATACATTGGCATGATAAGGAACGGGGGAGGGGGGGGCGTGGCGGTGAAATTTCGACCCTCTGAAGGGGAACTCTAGGCACGCTTATAGATTCACGGACCACTAAAACGTGATTTTCTTTCAAACTAAGCATTTCACTGTCACGAAATATGCATTAGGAGGTTTATTGAACGCCATTTCGTTAATCACGTCGATTTGATATATGCCTTTAGTGCCGCTTTAAGCAGGGCATCTAACCATCGTAAGAAAGGCTGCTAAAGCAGAACAATATTGCGGGCTTCTTTGAGACATATTTCTGCAAGGTCAGAGCAGCATGCACTCATCCTATGAGCAAGTTCAAACAGTTATGACGAAGGCGTGTAGATTTTCTTGGCACAAGTGCCGACTATGACCAAAGGCCACCAAGTAAGTCCCCGGGGTCAACGTTATAATGCCTAAAAAGCGTTATTAAGAGTTCGTGTTATTTAGCGATTTCTGTTACAACGAAAGTGCACTCGTGAGATAGTAAGTGGAGAGAAGGCGACCTGCCGCCACGTTCAATTTATCTTGTTTTTGAGGAGCTGATGACGAGAGCCGCCGACGGCAGCGACTTGTTGATAACGATTCACTTGGTGCATATTTTTTTCCTGTCACAACAAGGAGGGCACGTTTCGGAGGATTCGTCCTGTTTTAGCGTCGCCAGAGATGAACGTTGGGAGCCTGCACGACTTGATCTCGCATGTAAGTAACGGAAAGTGTTTATTTTTGGAATCCCTGTGCCCCGTTCAGCTTTCGGTGTCTCGGTCCGCGTGGTATGCTAAACACTTTTCCCTCAGGCTTTCCGCACAAATATAAACTGACTGTTGGTTTAATTCTATAAACATTGGTTACCTTAACTAGGTCAACAGCAAGCACTCAATCTTCGTCGCTAGTAATATTCAAGGCAATATACAACGAGAGAGACGTTTACACAGATTGCAGCTGATGATGACAACGATGATAATAATGGCGTCGACCAATTATACCTGGGAACAACGCATAACCACAGCTGTGTCGACGTTTGGTGCACGAAATGCAGTATAGACGGCAAAGCTTCGCGATTTCGCTTGACACCAAAAAAGCCTGACAGCTTCGTTACAGAAAAAAAAAACTGTTTACCCTTTCAGATGTTCGAATGGGGATCTCCCTGGACGGTGTTTACTACATGGCTGAGTGTCATCATCGCTGTGATCCTTACGATTACAAGATTCGTTGCGAAGATTGGAGAGCATAAAAACAAGCCCACGGCACCCGGCCCTCGGGGAGTGCCCATTTTCGGCTACCTTCCTTTCTTACGAAAACCTTACCATATCACCTTTAAGGAGCTGAGTAAACGCTATGGACCCATAATAAGGTGAGCATCATATTAAGTAACTTTATTTTCTAGTTAACTAGACATAAAATATGATGAAAGTTGATTATATTTGGCATCAACATTAGCGGGTTTTTGTGCTTTGTACAGCTGACGCAGTATTATTATACGAACATTCAACATTGTAAATGCAGCACTGACGTAGCTCTGTGGTAGATTTCAAATCCGAAGAATAATTTATTTCATCTATCTATCTATCTATCTATCTATCTATCTATCTATCTATCTATCTATCTATCTATCTATCTATCTGTCTGTCTGTCTGTCTGTCTGTCTGTCTGTCTGTCTGTCTGTCTGTCTGTCTGTCTGTCTGTCTGTCTATCTATCTATCTATCTATCTATCTATCTATCTATCTATCTATCTATCTATCTATCTATCTATCTATGTATCTATCTATCTATCTATCTATCTATCTATCTATCTATCTATCTATCTGTCTGTCTGTCTGTCTGTCTGTCTGTCTGTCTGTCTGTCTGTCTGTCTGTCTGTCTGTCTGTCTGTCTGTCTGTCTGTCTGTCTGTCTGTCTATCTATCTATCTATCTATCTGTCTATCTATCTATCTATCTATCTATCTATCTATCTATCTATCTATCTATCTATCTATCTATCTATCTATCTATCTATCTATCTATCTATCTGTCTGTCTGTCTGTCTGTCTGTCTGTCTGTCTGTCTGTCTGTCTGTCTGTCTGTCTGTCTGTCTGTCTGTCTGTCTATCTATCTATCTATCTATCTGTCTATCTATCTATCTATCTATCTATCTATCTATCTATCTATGTATCTATCTATCTATCTATCTATCTATCTATCTATCTATCTATCGAACCGCCTACGACTTTTAGTGCTCCTGACCGTATAATGACACTTATACCAAACTTGGTATGGCATAACATAGCTGCATGACGAGCATAACTGACTAGTCATAACATGAAAATCATTATATTGCCGCGACAGGTTGGCCACGTCCAAGTAGCCCGCCGCAATCATCGTGGCACCAGCACCAGCAAGACCCAGCTGGCATGCGCCACGCGTTCGTGTGCTCCAACAACGAGGAAGAAGAAGTTAGTTGAATCTGTGCCTCTCGGCTACTTGGACTCGACGACCATAGTCATTAGACTTGTGCCCACAAGTCTAATGACTATGGTCGTCGAGTCCGAGTAGCCGAGTGGCACAGATACCGCTATCTTCTTCTTACTCGTTGCCGGAGCGCACGAACGCGTGGCGCATGCCAGCCGGGTCTTGCTGGTGCTGGTGCCACGATGATTGCGGCGGGCTACTTGGACGTGGCCAACCTGTCGCGGCATTATGTATGTCATGTCATGATTTACGTGTCATGGTCTTGTTGCTTCAGCAGTAGTTTCGTTCCCATTACATATCGCAAAACTGGCATGGTATGACTTGACTGCATGACAAACATAAGTGACAGGCCCTCATGTGGAAATTACGACATGCGAGTCATGTAAAACATGACTACATGTTACGTTCATAGCATGCTCGCGGCCGTTTCGCTAGCTTCACATAGACGTAAGAATCTGCCCAGGCAGCGCTGCGGAAAACGCCGTCGCCAGCGCCCCCATCGCCGCGCCGGCCATAAATGGGTTGTGCACAGAGAGCCGTCCGCAAGTGAACGTGCATAGGCCCTCCTCTTTCGTTGGTCTTGAGGCGCAGTTTCCTGAAAATCTAAGATCAGGCAAGCTTCTTCTTTCAATGCTCGCATCATAAAAGTAGAAACCTCATCGAAACGAAATGTGGGTGCAACACAAAATATGTTTCGTTTATTTCGGCGTGCTGCAACGGGCAATTTAAATGCAGGCGAGCATCGCGTGACATTGAGTTTGAGGTAAGCACTCCAACGTGCGTTCTGTAATGCCTAAATGCGTTAAACGTGGGGATAAACATGAAGCGAAAGCGAGGAAGTGCATGCATGAACCACGTATGCGATCAGTGGTACAAAGCTCGCTTTATCGGGCACGAATATCCCTGGTGATGTTCGCTTTGCACTTGCATTCTTCATCGATTTCTCGCCTCCTGTGCATTGAACTGTTTTATTAAGCATGCTCGAATGCTCTGCTGACGGTTGTATTCCGTTTGTATATGCTGCAAATGGGGATACATGCGTGTTCACTTTCTCAGTGTTCAACGAAAGGCAAAACCGATGCCTCCGAGATAGCTCCCGTAATCGCGGAGACCAACAGCAGAAAGAAAAAAAAAAGACTGATCGTGGTCGCAATAATTTTGCGATATACCTGTATGACGCACGTGTTCGCATTTCCTCGTAATAGTCGGCACTTGGAGCCTTCAAAGCCCTACGTGCGTAATGCTGTGTGGTGGCTACATCTTCGGATTATCGGTAGTCGAGACGTGTGCGACGCCCGAGCGCCGGGCGTCACCTGTCTGCCATTGTACGTCGCGCACCGTAGTCAGAGGCTGAAGCTTGACGGTTAAGCTTCATAATGAAAGTTACCACGATTCTCTGTCAAGGCTAATCTAAACAATAGCAGGAGACCTACATTATCACACACACTTATCGGAACGGCTGTGGACAACGCGTGTATAATTCGCTTACCCAACACGTTCACAACGGCCTCGTTCTCGCCATTCTGCGTTGCGAAAGCTGTGGAAATCTATAAAACGGAAGTCATTTACGTCCGTGGCAATTGACAACGCAACAGTAGCGCATAATGCGTTTTTTTTTTTTTTTTCGTAGAGCGTGGAGCTGTAGCGTCTGCTCTTGTTTTCGCCATCGTTCAGGCGAGTTCACCAGCAAGCACTTCACACCTGTTCGGTTACGCATCCGACTAGCGGAGAAAAATTCGTAGCTTTTTTTCTGAGTGTTCAATGCTCAAATACATCTAATATTTCCCTCAATCATTTTTTCGTGCGCTTTAGTTGCATCTGGTTGCACAGCAAACTGTGCAAGAGAGTCGGGCTTATCACTACCCAGAACAGCTTTGACAGGTGGCGCTGCGTTTCCGCTAGACACCAGAGTCTGACGTCTATATACCAAATTTGGTATAACGGGACGTGAACGGATGACAAAGGTATAACTCTGGCGCAAACGCGGCAGTCATGACGTGCGTGTCATGTAAGAACATGGCTTCATACCACGCTCATGATTCGCTCGCGGCCGTTTCACTAGCTTCACATATACCAAATTTGGTATTGCGTGACGTGAATAGAAAACGAAGGTAAATGACACGTCCAAACATGATAGTCGTGATATGCGTGTCATGTAAAACCTGACTGCATGCTACGCACATAGCACGCTCGCGGCAGTTTCGCTAGCTTCGCATATACCAAATTTGGTATTACGTGACGTGAATGGACGGCGAACAAAAAAGCCAGGCGCAAACATAATAATCATGGCGTAGAAGTCATGTACAACATACTTTACGTCAGCCTCGTACTGTTCTGCTGATTATAAAGTGACATCAACCTTCCTCATTCGCGCTTTGTATCATTCATTCCCACTGTGCGTGGGATCTGTCATTTTTTTTATTTCATGTGACAGTGTTGTCAAAAAGAAAACCACAGTTTTAGCAGGACTTCATCACAGGCTGTCATTTTTACAATCTCTAGCGCAATTTACCAGTGATGACTGCATTACTGATACCAGCCAACGTATTTGAAATTTTTCAGTGTTAGGCTTGGCTGCAAAAACGTGCTGGTACTCAATGATTTCAAGTCTATCAAGGAAGGACATTCGAACCCAGATGTACTCGATCGGCCGAACGACTTTATATTTCGGTACCTCGGAATGGAAGGTTTGGCCATTTAATTTATAACTTATCTCTTACTCCTGTTCATTTACTTTTACTTGAAAGACGTAATTATTTTTCTCGACAACAGGTGTCGCTTCAATCAACGGAGAACGATGGCAAGTGAACAGGCGGTACTGCTTTCACGTGTTGAGAGACCTCGGTTTTGGAAGGAAATCTATGGAGAAACACATTCAAGTAAGACGCGATGTTCTAGCATTTTACAAGCAGTAACATCGCAGGTAATCGAATTTATGTGATACTCGTGATATAAATGACAACCTAACGCGTGTAAAAGAAGATGTTTCATTATCCTTGGTAGCCTGTGTGTTCATGCACTACGGTTCATGTCTCCTTGTGTTACTGAAATTGTCAAAAATAAAAACTCGCAACTTGCATTAGTGGCGCAAGGCTGGAACCACCTGCAGAGCTAGTGTTCGACCTAGCCTCTTTTACATTTTTGCTAGTAATGTCGAGCCTTTGCTAGAGGTGCGCATAGAATTCCCATGACTGGTAGCACGCCAAGCTAATACCATAACTTGCTGTTACATTGTATTGACGGTAACATTTCACGTCACTAGTTCTAATGTGACGTTAGACAATTTTGGTCACGTGACTAGTACTTGCGTGATGTTAGGTGGTTTTGGTCACGTCATTGTTACTTAAGCTACTAGGGACTCGAAAGCACTAGCGAGAAACTCTTGGAAATTTCAAGGCATTCACATGTTCCAGGTATAGTATTCACAGTTGTCAACCATGTAGAAAATGTACTATAGACAAGACGGTGTGGCACTAGCGTACGACTTATGTGTATGTGGGTATCTTGATCGTACTGTACTATTTTGAACCAGGCATTAACGAAAAAAAAAAGTGTTTAGTCTAGTGGTCGAGTGGACAGTTGGTTTTGAAGCGAGGATTTCGGGTTCACAAAGGTCATGTTAGAGGGAGCAAAGCCATGTTAGGTAGAGAAAGTTTTTGTAGGGCGGTCAATGCATTGAATAAGAAATAAAAAGGATGGCTCTCGCCTTCTAGTTGTTTTGCAAATGCATGAGAAACGCTGATTTTTTTTTTATGCATGAGCAGCTCATAGCAATTTTTATTTACAACGCTATGCTTCCCACTACAGCTAGGAAAACTGTTCAATGATACAAGACAAGCAATATTGTTGATCCCAATACACTGTCAAAACTTCGAAGGCTATATGCCTCAAACATGTTGCGGAAACGACTTCGTATAAAACTAAAGCTGTTGCCGTAAGACTTGTATTTCCTGCTCTTTAGAATATTTCTTAAGGTGATGCAGCATAGATTATGATTAAGGTCACTAATAGTCACCCTGTGCTTCACCCTACGCTAGGAGGAGGCACAGTCCTACATGGCTCTGCTTGCGTCAGGCAAGAAAGAGCCAATGCTGGTGGCCCCTACGCTCGCATCCAGTGTGGCCAACAGCATGTCAGCTCTGATATTCGGCCAACGCTATGAACAGGATGACCCGAAGGGTCGCCATGTAGAGAGAATGCTGACCAAGTTGCTGCGCGAAGCGCACTTCTTGTCCATCGCAGATTTTCTGCCGGCCCTCCGGTTCGTCGCAACACGCCTGCCAACCACGAAGTTGTACGCCATGAAATCTGTCTTCCAAGAGCTGCGCGCATTCATCAGGTGAGCTCATTCACGAAGCTGCACTATTCTCAGTCGATCAATAAAAACTCTCCGCTTAAGCATAAACAATCTGCATGCTTCACTGCAAATGTCAACGAAAGACGATAGTCTAGCTTGTGGAGAGAGTGAACAAGATGTTTACTTAATGTTCTGCGCGAGAAAATCGGTGAATTGTATTTTGGCAGCGCTGCGTTAGAGAGTTTCGATCCATGCAACAAAGGCGAACGAGCGCATCGTGGCACGTTAGACACGAGCGCCATCTGGCAGTCATCTTCAAACACAAAGGTAGGCATGAGCGCCCGCGGAGGAAAATGCACACTTGTCTCGGAAGCGATAAGGAGTAGAACGCAAAGCTACGGGCAGGTGCCACCACCGTGTCGCCTTAGCAAAGCGTTGGAAACACTTGCCTTTCCGGGCATCGTGTTGCACTGTCAGCGCAGCGTGATAAACACCATGGTCCTTAGAATTACTTATGTGTGCCTTCTCTAGTATAAAGCCACACATACAAAATATTCACATGTTGTTATGGTGCCTCAGATATGCGCAACAATTGTTTTTTAATTGACAATCGCACAAGTATGAACGCTGAAACTTCAACAATATTGGTGGGTGCTGCGGATGGGATTGTGCGTTTGACGTATCGCTTAATGCCGTTTGGGGCATCGTTACGATGGACAAACAGGCAAATGTACAGACACACAGACCAAAAAAAATTTTTGAAGTACCTCACGAAAGCCGATCGTCTTTAAAAACAGCCAGTTCATTACCAAAGATTACAGCCAACTCCACCTCCACCCCCGCGGTCCCCTTACAGCAAGAATATCCAAAGCACAGCGCACAAGTTCGCAGCCTCCATGCCTTCCGCCCCCCCTCCGGTAAATAAACCCTAGCACCACCCATGCTATTGTCGCAAAGACCATCTAGGATACCGCATTCACCTTTCAACACTCAATCTTGCCTGGCATGGCACAAGCACATGACTTTTCGCGCTCGATCGTTATAGGTGTTTTCCGCCTGCCGGCACCGAGTTTTTTTCCTTTAAGTGTATACTTCAGTGCAGTATACTATTGAAGAGTCACAGTTTACCAATACCAAGCTTACACCGGTCCCATTAAAGTCGGCTTCACTTTGTAAAATGAGCGCATAGCTGAAAAGACATCTCTCTTGGGCAAGGTAAACTATGTGATATCGGAATCTGACGATAGTCAAGGCGTATGCCCTAGCCATCCGCCCCCTTTAAGCCACTCCGACGTTCTCATTAAGGGTGGTGTTTTGCCGAAAACATACAAAGCATTGGTTTTTTTTTTCCTAAAGCAGTCAAGTTCTCCTTATAGTGGGCACTTCCCTTACCCCTTCGCGGAAAAAATACCTAGCTGCGTCCGGATGCAAAGCAGCTCTTTGACTACCTTGTGTAACGCTGTCCCTCCGTACGAACGCGCCGCGCGCTGCAAGTGTTAGCGTGGTGCAAAGTAGGTCCCGTCGCTGCTGCGCGTTGACGTCACGCTCCCCTCGCAGTGCACATGGACGTCACACTCTCTCTCGTCTGCCACGCGCACGCCCGACAACACCACTCGCCGCGGCGCCCGCAACACCTGCCATGACCGCCGCTTGCTACACCCCCGACTCGTTGGTTCAATGTGCAATGAACCTTACGTACGCCAAACGTACGCGTTGAAACATGTCTGTGCGTGTCACCTACAAGAACTACGCCAGCCATCGCTTCAAACGAATCTTCCAGCAACCCCCGCAGCACCCGCGTTAGCGCCTTTCAAGCCATCGTGCCTGCCGCGCTCAACGTTGCTGCTTAGCATGCCATCAGGGTTCCCTTAGGTTAGAGTTTTGTTTATTATTTTACTAATTTTCTTTGTCTTATTGTTTTAATCATTTTATACTCTTGCCCACAAGTGCATGTGACCAAGCTTACACCAAAACTTACGGGGCATATTCTGCGCCACCTTTAAGGTGTCTCTCGCACTCCGCTTTCGTGCGGCAGGTGTCCCACCACGTGTGGTGTGGCTGTGCGGCTAGCGCATGTAAAGGCCCTGAGCGGGACGACCGACTAGTCTCCGCCTCTCCTCTCCTGTGCCTCCCTTATGCGCATGCCTACGCGGGCAACTGTTTTTTAAGTAGGCAACGCACACAGGCTCCTTACCTCTAGCCATAGTTGAGGCATCTACCAAGAAGCGAAGTGTGGCAAGCCGATGAGAAGGTGCTGCGTAAGGGGGCCGCAAACGCTATCACGTTCCCCTTTTAAATGCGAAGTTTAGGCATCTTCTTGTTTTAGCTTGCCCTGTGTAAAGTACACTCGCGTTGAGTGCGCAATGTTATCACAATGTTTAGAAAACTCACGAAAGGTCCATTCTGGCTTAACCTGCGCCGAGCTATAGCACTTGTAAGTGATCCTCAGCCCGCGTTAGTCCCCTGCAAGGCGAAGGCCCCACCCAGTGATCTCGACTTAATTCTATCCTGTGCGACCAGATTCCGTCTTACTCCTGTGAAATTCGTAATTTCGTCACTCAATATATCTGCCTTCCCTGACTTGTTTTCCATCTATTGGTAACCAATCAGTTGCTCTTATTGTGCACGCATTATGTGGCCAGCCCATATCAATTTTTTTCTTTAACGCAAATGTATTTGTTAGTCGGGCTGTCATGCATTCAGCATTGTCGGCGGCGTCCGCGGCGGTGTCCGCGCCCCGGCAAGTATTATCTCTCCGCTCTCACTCTCTCTCCCATAGCAAGAGATGCGGGCACGCGTGCTTATCCTCGCCCCTAGCAACCGGAGCATGTGGTGTGAGAGAGTGTAGGAGAGGGTAGGTGTAGTGCGTCGCCGCTCCTTCTCTCGCCTGAATGTAGGAACAGCGCAAGCTAGAAGTAGTTACTTCGTAATACGGAAGCGAAAAAACAAGGACAGAAAAATTGGCAGATCCCACGTACAGTGGGAATCGATGATATGAGAAGTACGAATGAGAAAGTTGATATGTCACTCTAAAATCAGCACAATGTTACGAGGTGGAGGTAAGTGATGTTGTACATGGCTTACGTACGAGTCATGATTATCATGTATGGATGTCTAGTTTACCTTCGTCATCTATTCAAGTCTTGTGATACCAAGTTTAGTATATGGGGAGCAAGCGAAATGACCGCGAGCGCATCATGAAGGGCCCAATATACTCCAATGTAGTGTTGACGCGCACGTACGCTGGGCACAGTGACGCTATGTTAGCAAAACGCGAACACTCTATGGTTGGCGCCAGGTGCGACCAGCGTCCGTCAGCGCGACCCGACGGCAACCGTCGCGAAATGCGACATGCGGCATTTCGCGCCGACGCGTCACCCAGACAATGTGTCTCCCTCTTTTCGTGACGGAGGTACGCCGGACCCACTGAAACGCGCATGCGTCAAAGCAACGCAGCGAGGCGTGCGCCTGTGCATATATGGCAAGACCGGCGCCTGACGTGGCAACGCCGGCGTGACGCGACGAAATGAACGCCAGCGAGCACGCACACCGCTTAACGTCGAAATGTATTGGCACCTTGACTGTGGCATGTAGTCATGTTCTCACATGACACACATCTCATGATTATCATCTTTGCACCAGTCACATACATTCGTCATTCATTGGCGTCACGTAATACCAAATATAGCATATGTGAAGCGAGGGAAACGGCCGCGAGCGCATCATGAGTGTGCCATGTAGACATGTAGTTACATGAGACGCATGTTGTGGTTATCATGTTTGGATGCGTCATTTACCTATGTCGTCCGTTCTCGTCTCGTAATACCGAGTTTGGTACATGTGAAGCTAGTTAAATGGCCACCAGCGCATCATGAAGGTAGCATGCAGTCATGTTGTTGCATGAAACGGATCTCATGATTATAATGTTTGCGCCATTATCATACCTATACATAATTCATTCATGTCCCGTAATACCAAATTTGTTATATGTGACGCCAGCAAAATGGCCACCAGCGCGTCATGAGCGTGGCATGTAGTCATGTTGTTACATGAAACGCATCTCATGATTATCATCCTTGCACCAGTCCCATACCTTTGTCATCCATTCACGTACCGTAATACCAAATATGGTATATGGGACGCTAGCCAAATGGCCGCGAGCGCATCATGAGCGTCGCATGTAGTCACGTTGTTACATAACACGCATGTCATGATTTTCATGTTAGGGTCTGTTGCTTGAGTTCGCCATGCAAACCAGTTCTGAAACATGTCATGTGAACGAAACCACCGCAAGAGCAGCAGGATCACGAAATGTAAATCATGACATTTATGGCATACATGTCATGATTTTCGTGTTATGATTGGTCAAATATCTTTTTCATACAGTCATGTTATGCCACACCAAGTTTGGTATCGATACCATTATCTAAACGGCCAGGAGAGCTAAAAGTCGTAGGATAGACACAAACACACACACACAGACAGACAGACAGACAGACAGACAGACAGACAGACAGACAGACAGACAGACAGGCAGGCAGACAGAGATAGATAGATAGATAGATAGATAGATAGATAGATAGATAGATAGATAGATAGATAGATAGATAGATAGATAGATAGATAGATAGATAGATAGATAGATAGATAGATAGATAGATAGATAGATAGATAGATAGATAGATAGATAGATAGATAGATAGATAGATAGATAGATAGATAGATAGATAGATAGATAGATAGATAGATAGATAGATAGATAGATAGATACGCTCAAAGTCGCTGAAGTTCGCTAAGAAATGCTTGGCATTTAAAAGAACGCTGACTTGAAAAGAACGTTGTTGAAAGTCTGCGCTCTTTTCTGTCGTTTTTTTTTTTCGCTTCCGTAGTTAAGAAGTAACTACTTCTAGGTTGCGCTGTTCCTACATTCAGTTATGTCCTACCAACTTACCCAAGTTTCCACGCTTCATAACTTCTCTGGCCGTTCGCCTCCCTCCTCCCTGCGCCCCACCTTCCCGTCCGCTTGCGCTTCACACTCGACCGTTCGCTGGCTGGGCGCCTCTTAAGACATCGGGAAATGTGTGCTCGAGACGCCGCTGTGAAACGCCAACACCGAGCCAAGAACGCTGTTTATTTTGTTCCATTCATAGTATTCTTTAAGCGTGCATGCTAGCTACTAGAGCTGGAAACCCTTGCCACGTTTCCCGTGACAAAAAAAAAAAAAAACGACACGCGCGGCAAACGGCGCTATTGGCTTCACGGTGTAATAAAAAAAAAACATTATTCTAACGCTGGGTTCTCACGTGCGAAACGCTGTTATGGGTGCTATGCAATGAAATTTGCATTTTCTCTCAATTTCTTCGGGGAGGTGGGGGCATTTCTTTTTTCACTTAATGTCTCGACAACTCCTGTCTTTTCTGTTACCCATTTTGCCACACATTGTGCTTACCAGTGTGATCATTGCATAAGTTGTCGTTAAGTTAATGGCCAAGGCGATGTACACGGCTAAAGTGGCGGCGACAAAAGCTGTAGGTGAAGTTGTTTTTTTCTTGCTTCGACAACTTGCACTCCATGGTGTAGCCATCATCCCATCAGGCCCTTGAAATTTCAACTTTTTCAAAGCGGGGCCCAGTCTCGCTGCAACGGGGGCCACTACCTTCAATTAATGTGTCTGTGCGAATGTGTGTCTGTGCAGGCAGGGGAGTTTTCTCTCTCCGGGAATACGAGTGAATTGTGTGCCAGACTTTGCTTTCACAGGGGAGTGCAAATCATCCACCTTTTCTTTCATGAGACTCTCATTTAACATAAACAAGTTATATCTATGCGTAATACATGCACGCAATAGAGGCAAAATGAAAATAAAATACGAAAAATGGGACTCCCTACTATGATATCGTTAAGGATGATACAATGTCTTAAAAAACGAAATGTTTCTCTTTCTTTTTCACTCAGCCATAGTTTCAGCAGCGTCGCTTCGGTGACGATCACGATCGATGTAAGTGACCGTGATTGATCGTGATCGCTGCGTCTACAACGATCGATGCAGCGATATAACATAGCTCGCGTCATTTCCCTGTTTGGAAAACCTCGCACGGCGTTTTTCATGCAAGGCGTTCGTACTTCGAGCGTGAGACAAGCGCTTACGCAACGGACACTTCAATCTGGCACGTAATTATGAGCCAGTGACGATGGATTCCGTTAAAGACGCAGTTGTGCCAATTGTCACATGTCAAAATAATTACACACACACACGATGACCACAATTCGCTTTTTAATGCATACAACAACGCATATTCTCCCCAACTTGTTTGTTTGCTCTCATACTGTGTGACGCTGGCAGCTTCTCTCGGTTGTTTTTTTCTGACACCTCGCCCGCACTTACAACACTCATATGGGTGCAATGCCGAGCACATATCGCAAACGATCATTAAGATTCTCATGTCGCGACACCCAAGTAACACACTCACACACGCACATGTGGATATGCTGATGCCACACATTTTGCGGGCGGTAAATCACAGACACGCACATTCCACAGAACACACACACGTACATTCAGACTTCACTTTCACCTTACTGCACACGAATGACCACAACGACAATCGTCGAGAGTGGTCATCCCAGCGACGCAGAGAATAGACTCTGTGTTGCTGCCTCACGCTGCCGAACCGACGGAACGCGGTGAAGCCAGTGAAGCTCTGTCGCTTCGGTGCACTTGAAACACAGCAAAATCGCCAGCGCCAACACCGATTGACGGCCGATGACGATGATTCTGAGGGCGAGTGGATGAAATAGCTTCTTCTTGACGAAGCAAACACCACAGAAAACCGAATGGACGCCTGACGGTCTCGGCGCAGCGGCACATCAACTCTCGTGATGAACGGTGCCATGCTCATTTTGTCATTGGTTCATCGTGACTCTTACGTCATGTTGATGAGCAGCCGCAGTTGGACGCGCATAATACAAATGGAGAGTGACGCACTTTACTTTTTATTTTTAGCTTGTCACCGACTATAGTTGTTTTGTTTTTGTAGTCATTTTCAGTGTTTGTCGCTGGCTAATGCTCTTCGTTGAGAGTAACAGAGAGCTTTAGCCAGTAAGAAACAGTCGACAGTGAAAAAAAACATGCTTGTAAATGTGGCACAGCAAATGGGCTCTCGTGTCATGTTTTCCGGGCCTTATCCGATGTCCCAATGCTTACGAAGTTTTGTCGTTGCTGCAGACAACTGAAGTGATGTGTGTGCCTTCTGTTTCAGCAATGAAGTGCGTGAAAGGGAAGAAGATACGGAGGTGCACATTGAGATGGATTTCATAGACGGATACCTGCGGAAGATTAAGGAAGGCGAAGGAAAAGAATCTCACTTCAGTGGTGAGTGCGCGTCATAAGTACTGCATTTGACGTCGCACGACATCGTTAAGGTAGTTGAACATTGAACGGAGGCACACGCAATTTGTAGGCTCTCTAGCTATTTCTCTGAAACACACGGGTCGATCAACTACAGGCTCAGGATCCACTACAGGTGTCAGAGAATGTAGCCCGTCCAGTTTCTCTTCGGTGTAGTGTGCACCAATAATCATCAACGGTATTTTTCATTCAATCCAAGGAATACTAATTGGTTGGGCTTTACCGTTCCAAAACCACGATAAGGATATGAGGGTAGCCGTAGTGAATGGCTCCGGAAATTTCGATCACCTGGCGCTCTTTAAAGGGGCCCTGCGACACAATTCGAGCATGTCTTTTTCATCGCCTGGTGTTGTGTAGTGCGCAGATATCGTTGCGCAGGTGGCAACGCCGATATCAAAGTGCTTATAATTTAAATTCGCAGGACAAACTACTTTGATTTTGGACTATGGCGACACACATCGGCTATTTTTTGTTATATGAACTGACGTCATTTCACGTGACGTGGCAAGTAAGGCCGTTCGTTTTTGATCGACCTGACGTGACAAGCAGCTTGCAATATTCGTATATAATGGTAGCTAGGCCATATACGAGTGAGTGCTTTAAACAGTAAACATCCTTTCTATACTTTCTAAGAAAGAAATACTATCTGTTTCTAAATGATGTATTTTCGAAACAATGAACCCAACACTTAGTCTGCGAACGAGTATGGTACGTCAGCAACTAAAAGTGGAAATGGCTGCGGCGGTTTTAGTGAGTCAGAAAGTCAACATAAGGTGCACGCCAGCGCTGCCATAGAACGCGTCTCGCATGCAAGCCGAGAAGTGTCCCCGTTTAACGAATACATGTGTACTTTACGTGACGAGACCATGGGAGCCTCTGTTGCCCGACACACGTGATTCGTCGTATAACCACCCGAACGACGCCGTGAAAAAGAGTGGTAGTGCGGTACTGTGTGAGGGCCATCGTGAGGTGAAATTTACGGTATATGTCTTTATGAGACGCGCCATGCGATTGAAAGTGCTCTTTTGACGTCAGCAGGCGAGTGGAATGAGAGAGGAATCGTTTCTCTTCGTGGTGTGCTAATTTGGATATATGGTAGTCTTCGATGCGACAAGAGAGAGGATTTCTAGCTGGCTTTCAGAATTATGTAAATTATACCCCGCTTGGTGCCCTATAATGTTTGACTCGTGCGTTCTCAAGAACCTCGACTACCGACCGGCATCATTTCGCGACAGTCCTGAAAAAGTGTTCCATGCATGGCCCCTTTACGTAGATGTGAGGGTAAAATCACTAAAAAGGATGCAGTACAATCATGAATTAAATTGTCCCAGACGTGCGAGAATAAGCTTTCCGCCGCAGTTCCGACACTGGTGGGCAGTACGGTCAACTTCTACAGCGCGGCCACCAACACCGTGCGAAGTGCGGTCTTGTGGAACCTGTACATCGCGGCCAGCGACCCAGACGGTCTGCAAGCGCGCGTGCAGCGCGAAATCAACGCTGCGATTGGATGCAACACGGCGCCCTCTTGGGAAGACAGGCGTCGGACGCCTTTTACAATGGCGTGCATCCTGGAGGCTCTCCGGTGGAGGACCACGTCCCCCCTGGGCCTTCAGAGGGCGTAAGTGCGTCGATGGAAATCATTCTCTGTAGTTTCGAGGCCTGCTGTTTCGGCAGAATTTCTTATCTTCATCGGTGGGGACAAAAAAGACAGGACCGAGAACTGTAATTAATAATGATAATTGTTGGGGTTTTACATACCAAGAGCCGGAATTTTTGACCATTAGCTGTTTTTAACGTCCAGTGACATCAAACGGTGCAACAGCCTCCGGCATGTTGCCTAAATGCGACCTAAAAGCTAAAATAATCACCGGTCACATTTCATTGCTTTACATAAAATATCATGCTCGTTCGGGCTAATTGGTAAGCTAAGACTATATAGTGCGAAAGCAAGTGAAATAATTTGTTATCTTTCCCAGTGTAGTCAATTATTTGGTTGCCTATAGTAGAAGCTACGCTTTCTAACAATACGTGGCGCATTATTGACAATTGCGACTTGCATCTCGGTATATTACGCAGAGCAGGCAGAGACACGGTAATTTGCGGATACCACGTTCCTGGCGGCACTATGGTGATTGCCAACTTGTGGAGCCTTCACAACGATCCTGCCTACTGGCCCGAACCGTCCAAGTATGATCCCACGCGATTTCTCAACGCCGACGGCACTGAAGTGAACGACAAGCCGGCGGCGTTTCTTCCTTTTGGAACTGGTAAGGCCAAAGCACATTCCATGAATGAATTCAAATCTTTGGGTTAACTGTTTTCGCGAAAGAGGTCATGACATCCACCTTTCGATTGTATTCTATGTTATGTGGGTTGATTCTTGTGTGTTAGCAAGCATTCTGAGGGAATTGTAGTGCATCTAATCGAAAGAGTTGTTTACAACTGAATATTTTTTAAGCGCGCGAGTAGCCTGAAAGCAGGCAACACTGGCGCCCTCGCGAGTCATGACGTAACAATTATATAGCTAGCTGAATGATCGCCTGCATACCAGGGATTGCTCTGTGGTCGACTATGCGTGAGATCAAGATATTTTAGCTCTCTCCAGCTTGCCGAGCTTCACGAGTATACCTGTCGCTGAAACTTCGGTAGAACATGACGGCAACGCTCCTTGTTGCACATGACGCAACAGGGGCCATGGCAAAATGGTGTTCACCGGCGGAGGGTGGGCGGGGTTTAAATTCACAGCGTTTACAAACTTCGAGGGCTTGTTTCGACGAAAATATTCTCCTATATATGGCCCAATTGTCAGATATGTAAAGGCATGGCAGACCAGTCTTCACTGGATACCACAAACTGTCACGTGACCATGCCATAGTGTCATGAACTGTGCCGTGTCTGGAAGGCGTCAGCTATAGTTACGGGCCCCGGTGCACCGAAGGAAGCACACGGAGCTGTAAATTGTCATGCCAAACGGTCAGCTGATTCCGATAATTGAACGTTACGAGAGGCAAAACCATGTGCATTTGAGTACATCTCTCCGGAGTGGCTGATCGCACCACAGCCGTTAAGCTGCATCTTGAAGCCGCGGGTCTTTCCCGAGGTTGTGTTGCTGGGCGAACCTCACTAAGTGTGCAAGACTGAGCAGTTCGGCAATTATGTCAGCAGCGTATCGCACAACCATACTTCTAAACAATAACCTCATTGGGACGTCATGCGATAATAATGCGACGAAGAGTGTGGAAATTGTAGACATCATTAATTCATATGACTTCAGCGTATGTTGTATATCGATCAATAGAGCAAACGCGGAAGTGGTTAAATAATTACTGAAAAGTGCGAACTCTGCTCGCTGTATTTGTCCACTAACACGAAACTGCGAGCTGAGGTCGGTAAATTTTTGTGTGCCTTTCTAACCTTCCCGTCGTGCTTGCCTGTACAGGAAGGAGACAGTGCCCTGGTAAAACGTTGGCCCTGATGGAGGTCTACTTGTACGTGGCCACAACGCTTCAGAGGTTCAAGGTGCTTCCGGAAGAAGGCAAAGTCATCTCCCTCGCCACGGCACCCGCTCTGCTCAACGTCGCGAATGACGCTCAGAAACTGCGTTTTATACCACGATAATAAACCGAAAGCTTGCTAGCGATTGTTACTATTAGGTTTCAGGATGTATAGTGTCCTGATGTGCCAAACTACTGGAAGCTGTTTGAATTTCTTATCTAATTGAGTATCAATCCTGGTGCGCCTTCAGGTTTGTAGCAGACAAGGCTTCGATAGACACCAAGCACCAAGGAATGAAGAAAGCGAATTTCGGAGAAGCCCGGACCTCGACATCAGCGTGGCCTCGAATATTATGGCACCTTCAAGCTGTGCTCTCAACACACACACAAAAACAACGGTGCCAAATGACTATTTGTAGCGGCCGTGTTCTCCTACACCAGTGTTTTGTAGAGTTACGTGATATTGGATATAAATGAGTTGACAGCCAGCCTAACTCCGTATATCAACGCCGTCACTATACGCACGAGTCTTGATGTGGTCATCTACTATGACCGCGCCGCAGGAAACTTGGTTACTTAGCAAGCGCATGTTCACTCCAAATAATATTGCTCTTAAAAATGGTAGCCTTGCTTCGTAAAACATTCGAATATGTTGCTCTCGCATTGATTGCTTCGGCCTTTTGGCGAAACAGTGACTTTTTTATGTATACTCGAGTCTTCTTCGCTAGTGCTATGTAAGACGTTGCAAGGTTCACGAATAAAACAAAAGCAACGCCAAAGTCGCTGCTCTTTTGACGCAGTTAAATAAATTGCCACGTCAAGGTTCAATCCATTTGATGGGAAGTCGTTTGTATCTGTGAGTCGCGATCTGAGGGAAAAAAATAACAGAGACTTACTGAGGCACAATTGATCAAATCACTGGTAGCGAAGTTAACATTTATTGAAAAGCGATCCAGCGACTATACGTTATAAAGGTTTGAAACTGGGTTTGCTGGCATTGCTTCATAGCAGAAAACAGCGTAGGCGAAAGGGATAAGAAAGACGTGTGGTACTTGGGGCTGCCTTTTAGTGTAGGTACAGATGTATACGCTTCTTTGGAAAGGAAGAATTCCTTCTCGAAAAGTGGCAGATACCACTGCAGTGGGAATTGATTATGTGCGAATAACAAATTACAAAGTTACGAGCCCATTCAACAACATAACAAGCCACAACGTTACGAGGTGGACATAAATTAGGCCTACATCACTTCCATGTCATGACTACTCTGCTCTGCCTGGCATTTATGTTCGTCGTCCATTCACGTCACGTAATACCGAATCTGGTACAAGTGAAGCTAGCGAAACGGCCACCAGCACGCTATGAGCATAGCATGTAGTTATGTCTTACTAGACACGCCTGTCATGGTTTTCATGTTTGGACGCGTGATTTACCTTCGTCGTCTATTCACGTCACATGATACCAAATGTGGTATATGTGGAGCTAGCGAAACTACCGTGAGCGCACCATGAGCTTATGGCCTGTAATCATGATATTGTCGCGACGTCATGACAGAGGTCGTACTTCAAGACGCTGAGAAAACAGCAGCGGGTCGGTCTTTTTATTAACCGCGCGCGCGAGAGAGTTCCTCGTCTTTCTCGTTGTTGCGTTCTGCATGAAAGCGTGCAGATGCGCGTACGAGCTGTCGCCTTCGTCTTTTTCGCGGGACGCACGTGACATTTGCCTCCCTCCAAAAATGGCATCGTCCCGATGCGCAGTCAAGGCACTCGACTTATAAAAACGCACATATGCACCGGCACGCACAGGACAAACTAGAGTTAGCTGGACAAGTAGGGTTTCATCCGGATGACATGCACGATCTCGGGTGAGCAGTTTCGGCGACTGGAACTGCAATAGCCATCGGGAATAACTTCGTATTTGATATCGTTCAATCGTCAGGTGACTCGATATTGGCCGAAGTATCGTCGTAATAGCTTTTCTGAAAGTCCGCGTCGACGTATTGGGATCCAGACCCATACTTTGTCGCCTGGTTTGTAAGTTATCAATTTATGCCGTAGATCGCACCTTTTCGCATCTTTGTGTTGCTGGTGACAAATACGCTCGCGGGTTAGCTGTCGGGCTTCTTCGGCGCGCTGACCAAATTCTTCGGCGTCAGCGTGAGTGTCGTCACACTCGTGCGGCAGCATAGCGTCCAACGTTGTAGTAACTTCGCGCCCGTGTATTAAACTAAACGGCGTCATTCCGGTAGTTTCCTGCCGGGCAGTATTATAGGCGAAGGTCACATAAGGCAAGATTTTGTCCCAGTTCTTGTGTTCTGTGTCGACATACATGTAGAGCATGTCTGCGAGGGTCTTATTAAGCCGCTCTCTTAGTCCGTTCGTTTGTGGGTGGTACGCCGTTGTTCTCCGGTGAGCTGTACCGCTGAGCCTGAGAACCGACTCTAAACGTTGTGCCACGAACGCAGTTCCTCTATCCGTGATGAGAACTGTTGAAGCACCGTGCCGAAGGACGAAGTTTTCTATGAAGAAATGAGCCGCTTCTGCTGCTGTGGCCCTCGGCATGGCTTTAGTTTCTGCGTAGCGAGACAAGTAATCGGTGGCGACAATGATCCATCTGTTCCCTGTGGTAGAAGTTGGGAATGGGCCCAGGAAATCCATTCCGATTTGGGCGAATGGCTTTGCCATGGTGTACTTGAACGGAATGTAATAAGCCTGCCGGCCTGCCGGGTGGTGCTTTGCGTCTTTGACAGTCGGCACATGTTTGGACGTGATGTTTCACAGCAGCAGGTAGGTTCGGCCAGTAGTAACTGTTTTGCAGATGGGACAATGTTCGAGTGTAACCGAGATGACCGCAGGTGACTTCATCATGGCAGGCTTCCAGAATTTCTTTTCGCAGTGATGCAGGGACGACGAGCAAGTATGGGCTGCCGGTGGGAGAAAAGTTTTTCTTGTATAGGACGTCGTTCCTTAAACAAAAAGATGGCACTCCTCTTCGCAAAAACTTCGCGGCACGTCTTCACGTCGTCCTTCTAAGAAATCGATAAGCGAAAGCAGGTCAGGGTCACGGCGCTGCTCTTGTGAGATAGTGGCCGCGTTGATGACTCCCAAGAATGCGGCGTCCATAGACTCGTCATTAATAGCGGCAGGCTCGACGGGTGACTGCGAGAGACAGTCTGCGTCGGTGTGCTTCTTCCCTGATTTATAAATTATGGTCATATCAAACTCCTGAAGCCGAAGGCTCCAGCGTGCTAAACGGCCGGATGGGTCTTTCAAGTAGGTGAGCCAGCAAAGCGAGTGGCGATCACTGACGACCTTGAATGAGCGGCCATACAGATACGGTCGAAATTTGAGAACCGCCCAAACCATGGCGAGGCACTCTCTCTCGGTAGTCGAGTAGTTCTCTTCCGTGCGAGAGAGAGCTCTGCTGGCATCGGCTATCACTTTCTCGGAGTTATCTTGCCATTGTATCAGTACGGCGCCCAGGCCTACATTGCTTGCGTCGGTGTGAAGTGCTGTTGGCGCTTCCTGGTCAAAGTGCGCAAGAACCGGAGGTGTTTGGAGGCGTTGGCGTAATTCGTTGAGCGCTGTTTGTTCCTTATCGCTCGAAAGAAAGGGGAAATCCTCTCGTGTGAGCCACGTCAGAGGCGCCGCAATAGACGAAAAGTTGGCGATGATCGTCGGTAATAAGCGCAGAGGCCTAAGAAGCGTCTCACTGCTCTTTTGTCATGCGGTGCGGGAAACTTTGCGACAGCGTCGATTTTGCCCGGGTCAGGTCGAACACCTTCGTGGCTGACCACGCGGCCTAAGAAGCAAAGTTCGCTGAAACCGAAATGGCACTTCTCTGGTTTTAAAGTCAGGCCAGCCGAACGTATAGCTTGTAGAACTGCGAATAATCGACTTAGGTGTTCCTCGAATGTAGCTAAGAAGACGACAACGTCGTCTAGATAGACCAAGCATGTCTGCCACTTTAGTCCTGATAGCACAGTGTCCATTAAACGCTGAAAAGTGGATGACGCTGAGCATAACCCGAATGAAAGCACTTTAAATTCATAAAAACCGTCGGGCGTCACGAAAGCAGTTTTCTCACGGTCTCTCTCGTCGACCTCTATTTGCCAATAGCCACTTCGCAGGTCCATCGATGAGAAATAGCGTGCATTCCGCAGCCGATCAAGAGAGTCATCTATGCGTGGCAGTGGGTAGACGTCTTTCTTCGTTACTTGGTTTAACTTGCGGTAATCTATACAAAAACGCAAGCTACCGTTTTTTTTTAATTTTTAACCAATACCACGGTGTATGCCCAGGGACTCTTGGAAGGCTGTATTACGTCATCTTGGAGCATCTTCTGAACTTGCTTTTGGATCTCCTCACGTTCTTTCGGAGTCACACGGTATGGGTTTGACGGATCGGTCTCGTATTTTCTTCAACGATGATTTGGTGCCGGGTCAGTGGTGTTTGCTTGACTTTCGACGTGCATGAAAAACAATTTTCGAACTGGTGTATCCGCTCTAGTAGGCGCTGTTTATGCGAGGCTGACAGGGTTGAGCAAATGTTGACAGACAAAGGTGTCGAGGCTGGAATGGTCGCTTCGCCCGGTTGCAAAGCGAAGCAATCTCTGGCTTGGTCCACGTCGTCGTAGTAGGCAATCGCGGTGCCCTTCTGGATGCGACGACGCTCGTTGCTGAAGTTGGTGATGAGCACTTCTGCCCGCCCATCAATTAGTGCCAGAACGCCTCTCGCTATTGAAACACCTTGCGTGAGCAATAGCGTGTCTATTCGCTCCGCTATCATCTCATTACGGCACGGCCGTTCACATAACACCGACACAAGGCAGCAAGATCTCGACAGGAGCATCACATCATCGGCTACACGTAAGCGTTGCAGTTGTTCTTCAGTGGTGGCGTCGACTTAAGGATGGGTGAAAAAGGTGACGATACGTTCTGGAATGTTGATGACAGCACCGTATTATCGCAGAAAATCCATACCCAAAATCAACTCTTTATAACAGTCTGGTAAAATGACAAAGGTGGCGACGAAGTTCCGATCATCGATTACGAGCCGAGCGGTGCATTTACCGGTTGGCGTCATTAGCTGCCCACCACCACTCCTTATGGTCGGCCCACTCAATGGCGTCTTGACCTTCTTAAGGCGGTCGGCG